AGTGCCCAGCTATTTTGTTGTTGTTGTCATTATTGTTTAGGAGTCCTGGGCTGGGTTTGAATCCACCAGCCCTGGTGCATGTGGCTGGCAGTCCAACCACTGAGCTATGAACACTGAGCCCCCATTATTATTATTAATAATATTACTAAAGTAGATTTCTAAAATAAATTTAATTGGAATTAATACATACAGGCAACAACCAGGATGTATTTTAAATTAATAGACAAGATATGTATTTAATCAGTCTCTTGAAATTGAATTGTATTACATGGTATTAACTCAGATATTGAAGATGTTATATTTAGAAGGTTTACTTTTAACAGTTAAAGTAACAAAAATAACTTGTCAGAAGAAAAAGAAATTAATAATGTGTTAGGGTAAGTAAAACAGTAAACACTTTTATATAGTTTTTTGGATTTCTTTTTCAGTTTTTTGGCTGGGGGCTGGGTTTGAACCTGCCATCTCCGGTATATATGGGCAGATGTCCTACTCCTTGAGCCACAGGAGCCGCAAAAACACTTTTATATAGATTATATAGATTTTTATTGTTAAACTCGGTAAAATTTCATTAATTGGGGTTCAGCTATTTCACATATGTAATAATTTTGATGGATGCTAAAATTCAGATGAAATTTACCAGAGGAAAGAAACATTTACTAAATGTTCATTATGTATACTTTGCTATAGGTTCTTAAGATACATTGTCACTTAATCCTCCTGACTCTGAAGTCAGATAGTCTTTTCAACTGGTTTGCAGACCAGGGAGTTGATTGTTGAGGAAAAACAGTACAGAGTAAAGAAGTAAACCACAAAGCGAAAATGGAAACTAAACTCTGGGCCAAAATTAAAGGTGCTAGGTTTAAGGAAATAATTAAATATATGACATCAATTTAGAATCATTTCCAAGTTTTTTTTGTTTTTGTTTTTTTTGAGACAGAGTCTTACACTTTGTCACCATTGGTAGAGTGCTATGCTGTCATAGCTCATAGCAACCTCAAACTCTTGGGCTGAAGTGATCCTCTTGCCCTTGCCTCCTGAGTAGCTGGGACTACCGGACCCTGCCATACCACCTGGCTATTTTTAGAGATGGGGTCTTGATCTTGCTCAGGCTGGTCTCAAATTCCAAGCTCAAGCAATATATCCACCTCAGCCTCCCAGAGTGCTAGGATTACAGGTGTGAGTCAATGCACCCCAGTCTTCAAGTTTGTTTTTTATGTTTTGTAGTATATGTAATACTTTTTTTGAGACAGAGTCTCTCTGTTGGTACAGCTAGAGTAGTGTCAGTTTGGTCCACAGCAACCTCAGACTCTTGGGTTTAAGTAATCCTTCTGCCTCAGCTTCCTGAATAGTTGGGACTCCAGGCACCTGCAACCATACCTTGCTAATTCTTTTTCTATTTTTAGTAGAGATGGGATCTTGCTCTTGCTCAGGCTGGTATCAAACTCTGAGCTCAAGCACTCCTCCCACCTTACACCTTAGCCTCCCAAAGTGCTAGGATTATAGGCCTGAGCCATGGCACCCAGCCAGAAAAACTTTTTAAATACCTAGTTCACATAGGCTTGGTTATTTTTTTCCTTAGAGTTAATGGTATACAAGGAATAGGAAACTTAATTTATGTGAACTGTGCAGCTTACTCATAAGAGATTGAAAAGTTGTATATAAAGTATTTATTAAATTATTTCACTGTCTTTATTTTACTGATTAGTTTCTATAGAAACTTTTTTTTTTTTGGAGACAGTCTCATTATGTTATCCTTGGTAGAGTGCTGTGGTGTCACAGCTGACAGCAACCTCAAACTCTTGGGCTTAAGCGATTCTCTTCCCTCAGCCTCCCAAGTAGCTGGGACTACAGGCACCTGCCACAATGCCTGGCTATTTTTGTTGCAGTTGTCATTGTTGTTTAGCTAGTCTGGGCCAGGTTTTAACTCACTACCCTCAATATATGTGGCGGTGCCATAACCTATAGAAGCTATTTTTCTTCTTCTTTTTTCTTTTTTTTTTTTTTTTGAGACAGAGCCTCAAGCTGTCACCCTGGGTAGAGTGCTGTGGCATCACAGCTCACAGCAACCTCCAACTCCTGGGCTCAAGCAAGTCTCCTACCTCAGCCTCCCAAGTAGCTGGGACCACAGGCACCCGCCTCAACGCCTGGCTATTTTTTGGTTGCAGCCGTCATTGTTGTTTGGCGGGCCTGGGCTGGATTCCAACCTGCCAGCTCAGGTTTATGTGGCTGGTGCCTTAGCCTCTTGAGCCACATGCACCGAGCCAGAAGCTATTTTTCTATAAGAAAACCTTTTTCTCTGTAAGATGATACCTACCTTCTAGTGTTGTGCTAAACATTCACTTGTATGTAAACTACTTGGTACAGTAAGGATCTAGCAAGTAGTTGATACCCAATATATGATGTTTATGATAGAATTAGCCGTCTAGTTACATACTTAGGCCTTTAAAGGCTTTCATGCTTGCTTTTTGTGCATTAAAGTTCCTATTACATTTTCTAAGAGGAATGTGTGTGTTTATATATTTTATCTTTTTAGGGAGTTCCAATGAATTCACTCAGGTTTCTCTTTGAAGGACAGAGAATTGCTGATAATCATACTCCAAAAGAAGTGAGTATAATTCTTTACTGAGCCAAGAAAAAAATTTAAATTCTCCTTTCAACTATATGGTTCATTCTCCTTTTCTTGAATATTCTCTGATTTATATGGTGTATCATTTAATACCATTTTAAATAATGGTATTGCCAGAGAGAAATATGTTTTGGGTTGAACTTCCCACATATTATTGTATTAAAAAGGACCAATAAAAAGGGAGGTATACCCAAGGAATTAAGTACTGAAATTGTCATAAGGTACATGCTACATCTTTTTTGAAAATGGACAAATATTCTTAAATTTGGTAGATTTCTGTTACACTTTCCTGGTGATGGTGACCTTACTGGTTCAATTTTGATTTTGACCCATTTTGAGAAAGTTAATACAAAAGCTTAGTGTATATTAATATATTTGGGTTTGTCTTGTTTTATGCTTTTTTAAAAAATGTTTTTGTATCTTTATTTAATTGTTGTATTTTATGGACTATTTTCTCTTTTGAAGACAAGTCTTACTCTGTTGCCCTAGGTAGAATATTGTGGCATAGCTTACAGTAACCTCAAATGCCTGTGTTCAAGTGATCCTCTTGCTTCAGCCTCCTGGGTAGCTGGGACTTTAGGTTCATGCCAAACTCCTGGCTAATTTTTCTATTTTTAGTATAGATGAGGTCTCGCTCTTGCTTAGGCTGATCTCAAATGCCTTTGCTCTAGGAATCCACCCACCTCAGCCTCCCAGAGTCCTAGGATTATAGACATGAACCACTGTGCTTGGCCATTTCTTTTTTTTGCTGGGGCTGGGTTGGAACCCACCACCCTTGGTATATGGGTCTGGCGCCCTGCTCACCAAGCCACACGTATTGCCCCATCCGTTTCTCTATATTTTTAAGTTTTATTTTGAAGGAATTTTTAGCTTGTAGGAAGTTTGTAAGAATAGTACAGAAAATTCCCATGTACTTTCCTCCAGCTACATTCACCTACTTTTAATAGTTTGCTACTTTTGCTCAATTATATTCTATATCTGTGTGTATATTTTTTTCCCTTTTCCCCATCCCCAAGGTTGTATACACCATGACCATTATTTCTTAGTATTTTGTGTGTATTTCTTAAGGAAGTATATGGTTTTTTGGTAGTGCCCATAGCTCAGTGGGTAGGGCGCTGGCCACATATATCTAGGCTGGTGAGTTTTGAACCCAGCCCAGTCCAGCTAATCAACAATGACAACTACAACAAAAAAATAGCTGGGAATTGTGGAGGGCGCCTATAGTCCCAGCTACTTGGGAGCCTGAGGCAAGAGAATCGCTTAAGCCCAAGAGTTTGAGGTTGCTGTGAGCTGTGATGCCATGGCACTCTACCGAGGGTGACATAGTGAGATTCTGTCTCAAAAAAAAAAGAAAAAAAGAAGTGTATGTTTTTTACATAACCATAGTACTTCAAATTAATTTCAGGAAATTTAATCCTAGTAAAATACTTTTATCTTAATCCACAACCTAATTTTGTCATTTGTCTAAATTATGTCTCTAATAAATTTTCTTCTCTGTCACAGGGTCTGGTTCAGTATCACTCGAATATTTTATTGAGTTATCTCTTTACCTTTAATTTGGAGCATTTCCCAGCAATTCCTCAGACTTTCTTTGTCTTTCATGACATTGACATTTTTAAAGAATACAAACCAGTTATTTTCTAGAAAGTTCTTCATTTTTGGCTTGTTTGTTTTCGCATGTCTAAATTTAGTCTGTGT